GATATGTAGTTGTTCTTTTTTTCTGGCTCTATTTTTAGTGGCCTGGAGACAGGTGTGGGACTGAGCTTTAATTGAATAAACCTGGTGATTGATTACTACTGTGAATACTTACGTTTTCATGTAGTCACAAGTTCCTTTTTGCTTTTTGTTTTTGGCAGTACTGGGGATTGGACCTAAGCCTTGCACAGTGAAACTCTTTAGTCCTTTAATTTTTTTTTCGGTTTTGAGATAGGTTCTTGCTAAGTTGCTCCAGAGCAGTGGGCTTACAGTGTCCACTGCCATGACTGGGTGGAAGTTCCTATTAATCTCCATTTTTCTTGTCCTGTAACATACGAATTCTTATGACCACTCCAAATGTTATGGAATAATATGCTAGGATAATTTTGTATGTGAATATGCTGATGTACGTTCTAACTAGGTGGAATTACCGGCGTGCACCACCATGCCCAGCTAGTGTGTATTTTTCAAAGTGTACAGGCCAACTGTTTTGTAGACTGCCCATTTATTATTTTGGTGTAATTTTAATTTTTGTTTTGTAGTTCAGGGTGATGTTAAACTCACTACATAACCCAGGCCGGCCTTGAATTCACAGTGATCCTCCCGCCTCAGCCACCTGTGTGCCGAGATTACAGATGTGCATCCCCGTGTCTGGCCAGACTGCCTCTTAGTTAGGGTTTCACATTTCCTCAGGAGTGTCACTGACGTGATGTAGTGTCTTTGTCAGTACGTTATATCAGGAGCACAGTGGTTTGGCCATGTGTCGCTGAAGTTTACTGTGACTACATGGTTAAGCTGGTGTTCGCTGTTTGTCCATTGTAAAGCTGTTTTTCCCCTCTAACTAGGGATTTGTTGAGTGCTTTTACTGAGGAATACTTCCTCACCAAACTTTCACCCACTGCATTTAGCATCCATTGATAGTTTCTTCTATATTTATTAGTTGTCATTCTGCTATAAGGAAGAGCTTTGCCTTCTGCCCGCGTTTATCTAGCTGTTCATTTATTTAGCCATGGACTCATTTTATTCAGTGACTCCTATTATTAGTTACTGTTATTAGAGACACAAAAGATCCTTGTATTTGGCTAGCATAAAACTCTGCAGGGTGCTTCTGTATCTATCTGACGTGTCCTCATTCTTTGAGAACTTCCATACACTGTTACAGAGCGTATTTCAGACTTACAATTTCCCTGTCCCAATTCAAGACTCAGCCATTTTCCCAAGAAATTTTAGGTTCTTTTAGTGGAGAGCCGTGTTCAGAAATCAAGGTCTGGGTGCTAGATTTTCGTAATTACCCCTACTGACAGGGTCTTATATTATTGTTGATTTGTTAAGGAGATACTGATATATGTTAGGCTTCATAAGTGAGGACAAAAGCGAGGACAAAAAGCGAGGACAAAGTGCACAGATTCCTTCAGGCGAACCCAGCGTCACAGGGCGAATTCTAACTTCCCTCAGTCTTCCCACGATGGTTTCCCTCAGACTCACGATGCTACGGCTGTGAGTGTGTTGTAGGTGGCCCTTAAATCCAGAGTGCTTTATGTGTGTTTAATAAATGTACAAAAATTTTCAAACTATATCTGTTTTTGAAATGAGAACATGTTCTTTTATGAGAGGATTAACTAGGTTCTTTATTAAATTTTAGAAACAGCTAATACCCATTGAGTATCTGTGTCAGGGGTTGCTACAGGCTATATGTTATATTTTATAGTTTCATGTAATTCTCAGATTAAACTGTGAGATAGCTATTGTTATTCAGAGACTTTTTTGTTTGTTTTTTTTCCGGTACCAGAAATCGAACTCATGACCTTGCGCTTGCCAGGCAGGCGCTGTGCCGCTGAGCTAAATCCCCAGTCCCACTATTGTTATTAATACTGTTTTTCCCGTGTAGCAGTTGAGGCCTGTATAAGAGACACAAATTATGTTTCCTGAAACCAGATAGCTAGGAAGTTGTTGAATTAGAACCCACACTTTATTGTATCATCGTTTAAGCATAATTTCTATTTATGTTAAGAGGAGCACTTTGTGGCAGTACAATGAACATGATATGAGGTTATAATTTAATATACTAATATTTATATATAAACGAATCTACTAAACAGTAGCAAATAAGTATAAAATTATGTTCTTGACATAAATCTTAATAAATTGACTAAACTGGTAACATCTACCGAGTGTTGTGATTCACTGCCATAACCTGTGTAGATTTAGAAATACTTAATAAATTTAGTTGCATAATTTTTGCCTGCAGATTGAAAATAACCCATGAACTTTTCCTGTCAAGAGAGTAAATAGCTTCAGAATAAAAATCAAAGCCAAGAATGGTGGTGTATTCCTGTGATTCCAGCATTCTAGGAGGCTGCTACAGGAGGTGTTATAAGTTCTAGCCCATCCTACATAGCAAGACTCTGTCCAAAATAAAAAGTAAAAACAAGGTAGGAGATGTAGCTCTCTGGGAAGGTCTTGAGTTCAATCCTCAGTACTGAAGGGGAAAAAGAAATGTCATAGGAAGACCTGACTTGTTACTGTTTTTTGCAGTAGAATATGGCTTGAAGGGTATTCTCCATCATGTGAACCACTGTTTGAATCAAAGATGACCATAGGGGCTGGAGATAGAGCTCAGCGGCATAAGCACCTACCTGGCAAGTGCAAGGTCCTGAGTTAGATTCCCTGTACCAAAAACAAAAAAAAAAAAATCAAGGATGACCATAGGGTTAGCGCAGTGGAGATTCTGAATATCCCTGTGAATCTCCTTTCCCAGTGTCCTTGGTCTTGAAGGGCAATGAACTAGGCTAGGTGAATTTAGGGCTAATAAAAATTACTTTGTCACCTTTTAGACACTTCCTGGGGGACTAACGTGTGTATGCAGAGCTGAATAGGATTTGAACCAGAATCTCACAAGGTGGAGGTTCAGTTTTGTGTTAGTTACCTACTGGGCATTTGTAGGTCTGCGTGGAGAGTCACAGCTTTTAGCAAACGGCTTTTAATCCCCTGACTGCCTCACAAGTGAACGCAGATCAAACTTGTGATGAGTAGTGTGTTAAGGGTCCGGAGTTTGTCTTGTTCTGAAGGTGGTGTCTATATTGGGACTATAATTTCTAGTACTATACAACATAAGATCTGTGAATAATTTAGAAATGTTTCTATATTACATGGAAAAAATCTAGAACAAATAATTTATACTTTCTTGATCAGTTTTCTTGTTTAGTGTAGATAATACCTCCCGGTTTGGCCCTATTCCTGTGGTCTTTATGAAATTCTGTGTTACTGAAGTACTTCGAGAACTTAAGGTTGATACATAACCAGGTGTTTGTCTTATTCAACTTTTACCATTGTCATCCGTAGGAAAGACATCTTGGTCTTGGAAAGATGCCATTTTATAAGGTCAAAGCCTTCTTAGTTATCTTACACTCTTCGTGTAGAAAATAAACTTAGACTTTTAAAAAGGAGTTATCAAGATAATTTGACTTAATGATCTTATTTTGAAGCTTAATTAATAATGCCTTAAAATCATGTAGTGTGGCAAGGCCAGTCATTGTATTCCACAGCTTATTACTCTATGGAAAGAATACTTCTGGTGTGAGTTCATGTTTTGGTTTATTTTATGACATGGTTATGGAAGGAAATAGATACACATCTTTTTTGATCAGGGAGTTGGCCCAGTTGTACATTTTTGTCTTGGAATGTTCTTATATTTGAATGTTGTTTATGAATTCATAGCTTTTTAATAATTAAAAAGAAACACTTCAAAAGAACCGTGATCCAGCGCTTGCTTTGGCAACACATATACTGAGAGTCGTGATCCAGGAGGAGCTAGAAGCGTGCTTTTCTTTAGTGCTTCCCTGTTGATTTCAGTACATCCGAAAAACATGGTCACTTAATGAGCAGGTCTCTGTTTAGATGATTTCTGAGTTAGAAGAGGTAAAGTATTTTAAGATTTTTCTAGACTATAGCTCACATGAGGATATTTTGTAAAAAGTTGTGGATGCATTTCTTGTATTTCTTGAAAAATGCAGGATTGTTAAAACAGTAATCCTCAATTTTGAGGCAGTTATTCCCTGAGGATTTTATTAGCTTAAAGGATACGTGGGATCCAGTGTGTAGGGGGTGTTTGTCGGATGTAGTTGTAATTCTCTTCAGGGATATCCATGTGTAGTAATACAGGTTTGTTGTTTTCTGGTCACCTTTTATGGTTCAGACACAGTGGCAGGGGCGCTGGCTCTGCTTAGAAGCATCATGCCTTCTGCTCCATGTGGGAAGAGGGGTGCCTTTGGTGGAGTCCTGGGTCTCCTGCCTAGACCAGGCGGGGGTTAGGGGGCACCAAGAGGGGTCATTCTAGGAAGTCCCTGGTGGGCCCCACCTGAACAGGCTGAATGCTGCCTCTTGCTACCACTAGGGGAGGACTGGCCCCTGGCCTTGTTTCCCCTGGAGGTGGGTGAGTGGGTGGTGGAGGAAGGCAGGAAGGCTTAGCAAGCACAGTTGTGCAGGATTGCAGAGGCAGAAGCAAGATCAGGGTAGGGGGTGGAGCTGTCGGGAGAGCATCTGTCTACAGGGAGTCTGGTGAAGTCTTGAGGATTTGGAGATCCTAGGTCCCCTTCAGAGAAGATGGGGAGAGGTTTGCAGCCCAAGGTAGCTGTTAAAACACCTAGACTGTGGTGGGGGGCAGAGTCTTGCTCTGCTTGTGGTGATCCTTCTGTCTCAGCCTCCTGTGTGCTAGGATGACAGGTGTGTGCCACCATAGTTAAAGCAGTGGGAGGAGGGAGGTGCTCCGCCTCCTGCTTGCCAAGGGATCCCCTCTTCCCACTGTGGGAAACACTCCTCCCACACTCCAAACTGTTTGCAGTAGAATGGGGGAGGGGGCTGGGTTAACTGCATAGATAGAAATGGCCCAGACCCCCTGCCAGGTTCCTAATGGGATTGCCCGAAATCTCTGAGAGACCCAGCACACTGAAGAGGGATGAAAGTGGACCGTGACCCTGGCTTCCCCCGCCCCGCGTGCCCCTTACCATAGGCCACAGCGCCTTGAGCCTTGAGTACCTGATGCACGCTCCTGTCGGAGGCGCTGTCCAGGGCGCCGCTCGGCTCGGCCTTCTGCCCTGCTCGGTGAGTCGGTACCTGGCATATTGCAGTGAGGCCATGTCACTGCCCGCTGGCAGCTGCTTCACCGGCGCCTCCCTCGGGGAGGCGGTGCTTGAAGCTGGGCAGGTGTGGGCTGCGCCTGCGACGCCTTGCGCTTGCGCGTGTTAGCGTGGTGGGGCGCACAGCCTCTGTGTGGAAGGGATTCACCCTGCCCACGGGTTGCTCGGGACATGGCGGAACAGGAGGCTGCAGGCGCACGGCACGCTCTGCATGTGAAAGACGTTGGCCCTGTAGATGAGGAGGGCCTCTAAGCGGGGTCCCTGGCGGACCACAAACTGCAAGGTCGCCCACGCCCCGCCCGCTGAGGTGTAGAACACACGTGCGTGTCCTCAGTAGAAGCCTTCTTGGGAGTGGACGCGCAGGCCCTCTGGCAGCCTCTGGCCCAAGGAGGCGCGCTGTCAAGTTGTCCACCAAGGTTTCCAAGAAGCCGAAAGTCAGGACAGGAGGAAGCGCGGCGGGCCCTGCGTGGCCATCGTGCCACCCCTAGACAGATGTCAGCTGCTGTGACTGGAAGACACTAGTTTACGGTCACTGAGCTCCCCGGCCACCACCTCCAGGGACTCTCAACTGTTGGCTTCTAGCCGTCAGCTCCTCCTGTGCTTTGCTCCAGAGGGATCTGATCGCCAGGGTCGCTGAGAGGAGGAGGCAGGCTCGGGCTCCCTTGGGGGGCTGCGTGAGGGTTCTGTCCTGGCTGTCTGGAGGATAAGAAGTGGGGGTAGCGGAGCTGTGTGGGCTCGGGTGCTTGTGGTCATGGAGACGTGGTGTGTTAACCGCGCTCAGATTCCCGGGCTCCAGCTCACAGTTCCCCCTGGGCCGGAGGGACTGTGAATGGTACGTGAGTTCGGGCGGTCCCCTCTGCCTGCCTCCCCGTCTCTCCCCGCCCACACTAACGCAGGTTTGAAGAGGTCGTGTATTGGTATCTTTGGCATGAGCTGGAAGGGAAAGGGACTTTGGAGGTGGAAGGCTTCTAAATTCCGAAGCACTTAATAGAACCCCAGCTTGAATGGCCTCCTTTTATCCTGTGCATGGTTTTAATATTCTTTCACCATTTCATCCTGTACCCTAAACTGGCACAGAGCTGCTGCCTGCTGTTTCTCCTTTGCATTCACACTGTTCTCAAGCCAAGGAGAATTAGGGAAATTGCAAGGATGAGGGGGAAGGTGGAGACTGCATCTGTGAATTTAGATGTCTGAAAACTTGCCAAACGTCAAAATGTGTAACAGGAGTGCTTCCAGGAGAACTTCCTTTTCTGTAAGGTGTAGTATTAAATGGAGGGGTAGGAGGAGTCTTACTTTGAGACAGTAGCTTACCAGTTAGTTGTCTGAGATGAGGGTGCCAGAGTTCAAGGCTGGGTAGAGGTGAAGATACACTTTCACTTTGTTGTAGCTGTCGGGTGCGTTGGAATTTGAAAGGACTTCTCAACATAGGAGGCTTGACTGCTGACACAGTAGTCAGTGTTTATTAAGTTCTTCCCATATGAATGTGATAATTTTATATATTTTTTAATGGTGCTGGGGAGGGATACTACGGTCCTGTGCATACTAGGCGAGCGCTCTAACACAGAACTACATCCCTGGCCCTGACTGTAATGTATATTAAATATAAGACATTGTTTTAGTTTTTGCTGAGTTTTTAGTTTATAATGAAAAGATGTGTGGAACAAAATACAACTGTCCAAGAACCAAGGTTTGCTGAATTACATAACAGGTACTGCTTGGGTGGAGAAAAAGATTATTAAGGGCAGAAGTTAGTGAGACGGGAACCTGCACTGCCAGAGAGGCGCAGTGTCCGCCGCGTCCTCCCCAGACTCCCGGGAGCGCACACGACAGCTGCTTCTAACTTGCGGCCGTCGGCGTAGTTCCCGAGACGCTGCCCTGTCCTTTCCGGGCCGCTGAAGTGTGGACGCGCGTGTTCCCCGCTCGCGCCGTGTCCTGTCCGCGCTTTTCACCGGGGCACCTCTCACTTCAGGGTTTCCGTTTCTGCTCTTTCGTTTCTTCCTGAGGTCATTAGTCGATAACTTCACTCAGTTTGAGAACTGGTACTTTATTTTCCCTTTTTCTTTTGTGCTTTAAATAAAGGCTTAGAATGTGTCCTTTTTATTTTGAGGCCAGGTCTGCTCGTGTAGCCCAGGTGGTCGTGAACTCACTGTGTCGTCCAGGATGGCCTCAGGCTTGCCGCAGTTTTCCTGCGAGCTGCTGAGTGCTGGACTTACAGGTGTCTCCACTACACCTGGCTGGAATGTTCCGCTTCGTTACACAAGTGGATATTTACTGGACATTTGTGTGTGGAGGCACTTTGTTTGCAGGGTGCTGTAAAATCTTCAGTATCATATAGTTGTTGTTCCCATTTTACAGATACGAAACTCAAGATTACAGATTAAATCCTTTGCCTCAGGCTTCTGGCCAGTAAGTGAGGACAGGTGTGTCTTCTGCTGCTTTCTTTCTGGCCGAATGTCCTAAGTGGAGAGTGAGTAGGAGGTGGGAGGTATAATGGAAGTCAGCCTCTGAGAAGATTGTTCAGCGCCGGGGCTTCGTACCTTTAGGGTACTGAGATTTGAGTTGGGAACTGTCCGCGAGTGGTCTCTGAACTTCAGTGTCCTCATCATCAGTAAAGCGAGGCATGTGTCTCTTAGCAGGGCTGTGGTGAGGATCAAAGCGCATTTCTACCTGTGCAGCCACAAAGGAGCTGGTTCTCTGTGTTAGCACTACGTTAAAGTATTTCTTTTATCTGTTGTTGAATATAAAGCCAAGTAGATACTTTGGACAGCTTCTGGCAAGCAAGAAGTGGGTTATCCTATTTTCTTTCTCTCATGATTCCTTATATTTTATATCAGCCCTATTACTGAAGAAATGCTTCTGTGCAGTTATATTCTTATGCAAAACAGGCTTCGTTTATGACTCTCATGACAAAAACTTTCATGACATGAAATGCATTTTTTTTCTCAAATAGAGGCTGGGGATACAGCTCAGTGGCACAGTGCCTGCCTGGCAAGCTCAAGGTCCTGAATTCAATTCCCAGTACCCCCCCCCCCAAAAAAAACCAAAAAACCCCACAACAATCAAATAGCATGTGTTCCCCTTTGGCTCACTCGCTGACTCGTAATCTCAACCTAGGATGAGTGAGCTTCTCCCTTCTGCAGAAGAAGGAGCAGCGAGGCTGTGTTTCTGGGTGCGAGGAGCGGGAGCGTGAGTCAGCGTTCTCTCTGTTCTCCCCGCTGGGACAGCTGTCTGCCCTCCGTCTGCGCCCCACCTCCTTCGACTTGTGAGCACTTAACAGGTCACAAGCGGCACTAAGCAGCTAAGGGGCAGCGCAGCTCTTCCGTTCACCAAGTAGGTTCTAGCCACAGCTCTAACACTTGAAGAACAGCAAGAAACGCTTCAGAACTCTTTCAGGTGTGCACGTGTGAGTGTGCCTTTTCTTTTCCAACCCTCCCCAGCCCCTTCCACGCACTGGAGAGAAAACGACAAGGTGTTGTAAGTATGACTTCCATCTCAAGCTGACGGAAGTCTTATACTCTGCTACTTTAACTTTGTTTCCCCTCAGATTTCTTATTTTGCTTTTCATTTATTTGTGGGATTGAACCTAGGGACTTTCAAGCACTTCACCATTGAGCTACATCCCTAGACCTTTATCTTTTAATTTTTTTCTTAGGTTAAAATCAGTTTTTGTGTGTGTGTGCACCCATGTGTACAGCAGCACAATTTGTCACACACAGCTAAATCTTGGAAACAACCCAAATGCCCGTCAGCTGAGGAGTGGATAAAAAAGGTGTGGTATTTTTATACAACGGTGGCTTACTCAGCTATAAAAAAGATGAACTAGAGGCTTTTATAGGTAAAAGGATGCAACTAGAGACCACACTCATAAGTGAAGTAAATCAGACCTGCACGTGTAAACATCATGAAATGAAACACATAATGAAACAGAAACAGAGAAATGAAACACATAATGTACAGTAGAAATTTTGAGAGGGAAAGAAATTGCTCCAAGGCAGGAACAACTGAGATGAGGGAAAGGAGGAAAAGAAAGAAGGAAGGGAAAATAAAAGGGTAGCTGGGGTAATTATACTGCTGATATCTAACGGTTTTCTTGTTTTGTTTTGGTTTGGTTTGGTTTTTTTGAGATAGGGTTTTGTTAAATTGCCCAGGCTGGCCTTGAAATGCGGTCCTTCTGCCTCAGTGTCCGAAGTGCCTGGGATTGCAAGTGTGTGCCCCTGTGCCCGGTGATTTTATTGTTTAGTGTAGGACTTGACTCTTCCTGAAATTGTTTATTTTCTGTGGAAGAGGAAATGGTAGGAGTAGGGCAGTACAGATTGTGACCAAAGTCACGGAAGTGCTGAGGCCTGGACAGCCGAGCTCGGCAGTTAGGTTCATCTGTGTTCAGATGCAGCTTTCACCGATGCTGGGATACTGAGGTGTCAGCGCTCCGAGGGACCTGCGGGGGTCCTCCTTTCTCGGTCTCCTGAGCACCTGGGGTTACAGGCTGCACCACTGCGCCCCACTGGGACACGTTCTTGTTTTCTTTGTACTTACCACTCCGTGTAGTAGATCGGTAGAGCTTGTTCCTCCTGTCTAAGCCTTAAATCAGCATTTCCTCTTTCCCCATCGGTGTCTTCACCCCAGCTTCTGGTAACTGTCATTCTACCCGTATGAGTTCAGTGTTTCTAGGTTCCATCTATAAGTGAGGTCTTACAGCATGTGCTTTTCTGTGTCTGGCTTACTTAGCATAATGTCTTGTAGGTTCATCCGTATTCTTGTTATAGCACTCTTTTTAAGGCTGAGTAGTATTCCAGTGTGTATGTACGTTGCACTTTATGTGTTCATCTGATGATAGACACTTTGCTGCTTCCTTACCTGTTCATACTGCGCTGAACCTGAGGATGCAGGTATCTGTTAAACATCCTGCTTGCAGTTCCTCCGAATACGTACCCAGATGACGGTTCTGGTTTTAGTGTTCTGACGAGCCTCTATGCCTGTTTTGTGC